TCAGTAAATGCTCCCATTTTTTAAGTGGCACAAAATGTACCAAACTCATGTTCTCAGATCATTCTTGCTCATTTTTAGAAAAAAAAAAAATCTTTTTATTCAAATTAATGCCTAATTGTTAACGCTCACTAGTAATTTATAGTCTTTCAAAGGTTTCAAGTTGACATAAAAAGTTAGGATAATATTATATCCCTCTAAAAAGCTCCATGAAATAAAATTTAATTCAAAGGGTAGTTTTTTCTGGGTGAGTAAATTGGACATCTTTGAGATTTCTTTCGCCAATAATTCACATGAAATGTTTTTGCATGTTTCTCCCACCTTCCACAACACCAAGATAAGCTTGGAAGGATAAAACACTATTACAAATTCAGAGAAATTTCATGTTCAATGAACACTAAACACTTGACAACCACCCACAAAAGCATAGAAAGCACAGTCTTCTATCACGTAGCCCTATGCTATATTTTTCAAGAGAAGTTCACTCTGAGCAAGCAGATAAGAGTGATTTCCCCAACAAATCACAAAATATTCTGTCCCGTCAGTCCACTTGTTTTCTTGTGGTCGTAATCAGTATTAAGATCTTTGCCTCTTCACCTGCAACAATTCAGTATTAAGCATCTCATTTCATTTTCTCATGCTATACTCCAGTGCTTCCACTGCACCCTATAGGGATATAACTGTGTTGGTTTTCAAGTGCTAAAAATAAAACAAACACATGTCAACCCAAGGACAAGGTTGAAAGGAAACATACTTTAATGTAACCAAAGAAGAATATATTTAGCATTTTGCTACTAAGCAAGGATGGAAATAAACATGTCAACACATTGCTGAGTCTAACTGTGAAACTCACACCCTACTCAACTCTTTCTGCAGCATTTATTATATATGAAAAGTGGATTTAGTCTTCATGTCTTTATTCTGAAGAGTGACTGTTAGTACTCTGTTACTACTGCTGGCCACAAAGCGCTCCTGAACTGCAGTGCAAAGCACTTCCATCCTTTTAGGCAGTCAGTTTTTCTATCAATTAACAGTAATGTAGCCATCTAAGGTGCATTTGGACAGTGGTGCATATTAAACTTCAATCTGGAATCCTTCCAAAACCAAATACAAGCATAACTGGGAAGTGGCATGGCACTCCCTCCACTCCAGAAAGTGAAGAGTGATCCCTAAATCAGAATGTTTTCTTTTGTCTGTCTTTCATTATTGTTAATTTGGGCTCTCTGTAAAGCAGTACTATTCCTCTGTCCCCAGAAATTAATGTTCATAAAAACCCCATGTGATTATATTTTTTAATATTGCCTTTGAAACAACGTGGATCTATATTTTAACATTTTCAATTATCTGAACTTTAATTTTTAACACTGGGAAAACAAATAGTACAAATGTATACAGTGGTCTTCATTTTGGAGATCCTGTATTCTGATTAAAACTGATACTGAAAGAAAGAACCATTATGTCTGCTTCACTTAACCTTTCAAAACACAAAGCCAAAAATTTATTCTAATGTTAGAGCTTGTTTTCTGGCAAATGAAATTCAAGGCAGAGCAAAAGTGTTGGTAAATGAGTATAATTTAATGTGGTAGAATTGTGAAACTATACTGTACAGTTGTATGAACACTTCAGAGAGAAGGCAAGGAGGAAAACTGGGAAATGCTCTTAGCAAAATCTATTATTTAACCCCTTACAGAACCTGTAGGTTCCTGCCTTCACTGCCATGAACAAGAGGATTGAGTAGACTGGGGCACTATGGAATCTCCTGGTGTGAAAGATTCTGGCACCAAGAGGTTGCAACCCTGGAAAAGGAACATTTGCTCTAATGCCCACCAGGTTCCAAGGCGTCTGACTCCTTCAGAATGTCACCTTTTTTCTCATATATCCATACAATTTCAAATTATTCTTTTGCAGTAGTAGACATCAACAAATTCCATTCTAAATTTAAAAATACATTAGTATTTTAAATATTAATGTTTAAAAGGTTCATTGGTTCTGGTAAACTCTCCAGGAAGCTCATAATGTCTGCAAGAGGAGTAGTTGCAAAGTATCATTCTGGCAGGACTTTAGGTAAGCATTAATGGAGCTCTAAAGAGCTTAAAGAGCTCCTCGTGCTTAATAAGGGCCATTTGAATTCCATCAGTAGGATTCAAATGGTCCCAATTAACTTCTAGGTATGCAGAAAATAAAAATTAATCGAGGGCTAAGTGTTCTGAAGTTCACAAAGGAAAAACAAAATCCAGCTACTATGCTCCAGTATGAATGCTCTGGTACTTACAGTGAGATTTCTTAGCTTTGACAGTTTGTATGCACCTTTCCAAATAAAATGAACTCCCTCTTTTAGGCAAATCCAAACTATTCCTTTCCCACTCCGATCATTGTAGAGTCACTGTGTCAACTATGGATGATGGAAATACCTCATCAAAAAGAAAAAGACTGGCAAGCATTCATCTTTTTTGTCAGGGACTGATACAAGGCCTATCACAAAAATTCAATGTCTTCATGATTTAGGATTGCCCCAAAAGCCACAACACTTCAAGCCAGTAATAACACTTGGAATTCTCTGAAGATTTGTGGAAACATATAGGAGTGAGAAATTAACATTGCTGGTTTCTACAAGATATCTTTACACTGATAAAATTGTAGCGCAAAATTTAAAAAACATTAGCAACTCATATCAAAAAATTATCTTGCAACATGCTTCTGTGTGCATTTTTTAAAAAGGAGCTTTGCAAAAATAGATGCAGGGTGGCTTGGAAGATGTTATCCATTTCCCTATTTCAGACATTAAGGTTTCATTTCAATTTCTTGTTTCCTCAGGATTTACATACTTAGATTAATGTGTTCTCAATTAGTATGAGACATCTGCAAGTAGCTAGCAAATGCAAAAATACTCCTTAAACATCAAAACTCCTTAAACATTAAAATATAGGCAAGATAAAAAATGGGGAAAAAGCACGGAACATTAGAAAATGTGGTTGTTCAAGAAATTTGCCATATGCATCCCACAGAGACTTTTAAAATTCATAATAAAGATCCACAGATGGAGATTCAAAATCAAGAAATCATACTTCAGTCATTCTTGAGGTTGACAATTCAGAGTGAGCACATTCAGCAGTCAGCATCAGAGTGCCACATTTCACCTTCAAAATTCTATTTATGGCCTTCATAACCAACATACAGCATTAAAACATCCTAGTGAAAAATCCTAACTGTACAAAAAACTGCAAGATGGCTTTGTGTCTAACTGCTTCTTGATCAATTAATCTCCCAGTTCTTCAGAACTGTCCACAACTAAATCTATGCTGCCAATTTACCACTATCAGCTTTGGAAGAACATGGGAACAAATTTTATTTTGATTGCAAACCTGAGCTTCAGATTACTAAAATGAGTGTTAGATTACTGGAATAATTACCTAATAACTGCTGACAGCCTTGATCTCCTGGCCTCTTCTAACACTCCCAAAGTGCTGGATAGATCCCTTTGGAAATATGTGGAATGTATCCAAACCATCAGAAATCTATAATAGGGGCATTTTTCTAAAGAAAAAAAAAATTAAAAACCTGACAACTATTCTTCTAAACTTTCTTGCACAATATGGTGAATATCTGCAGGTAAAAAGATACTTTGTCATAATAAAATAAGTCACATATTCTGTAATAAATAGCTCATGTAGTTTTTTGAAGCTTTGTAACATTTTTCTCCAGAGAATCTTGCTTCAGAGATAATAGCTCCATATGTTATCACAGACATTATATTTACTCTCCACACACGAAAACCCATGGCATAATACCTGCTTCTCTATTTTTTTTTTGTTTGTTTGAACTACCATTAGTTCAAACAATAACATGTCTTATTTCTACTAAAACCCCCATCGCAGCACTTAAAACAAGGGTAAAAGCTTCTACAGATGCCAAGTCACTGTATATTTCGAGATACTCGGCAGTATCTGGGGGACAACCAATTCCCACAGAGAAAAAGTACTTCTAACCATTCATGTGTGAAAAGAACCAGCAGGATTTCTCTGAATATTATTTAGATAGGTACTAACACTCTGGTTAATTAACGAGGGATTTAGACAGAGAAGTATACTGAACTAGCGTTGGGTGGGATGTGTGTGTTTGGTTGGTTTAGAGGGGGTTTAAGAAGGAATAACGTCTAATTTCGGTACTCAAACTGAAAATACATAAGAAAGGCACAAAAGCGATCAATATTGAGACCTTAAGTCAGTTTCACAGAATTCAGCAGCACGTTCAAATTCCAGCATCAACTGCTTTTCCCTTTTGCTTACAATTATGTGTGGTTTCAGCAGCAGAAATTCAAAAAATCTCACAGATTATGGGCTTCCAGCTAAGCACAGAAAGCACAGGAAGATATTTGACTTGCATCTCCAGAGATTTAACTTGTTCTACATTTCAGACTCCACTGGGTACCACTGCCAAAAGACGATCCCGTTTTAACCTTAACTGGTTCTGAAGAGACCTGGCCGTACATGCGATACGACCCGCACGGACGATGGGCTTCGCATGCACAAATTGAGGGCAGGGAGGCGAGAAGAGAAAATTAATACCTTTAATCCTGGAATGCCTCCTGCTTCCCTATTCCTCACACTGCGACACGCGCAGTCATCCTCTCTCCCGCTGCATTGAGGAAACTTCCCGAGGGGCCGCTGCCCGCGCTCCCGCCGCACCTGCCCGCGGCCCCGGGCGGACAGCGCTGCTCCGTGCGCCCCGGGCCACCGGAGGAGCGGCGGGGCTGCCGGCGCTTCCCCGCGCTCCCGCCCCGCAGCATCGCCCCGAGCCGGCGACAGATCCCGCTCCGGCAGCCCCCGGTCGCCCAGCACCCCCGCAGCCCCCCGGCCGGACACGGCTTCCCTTCCCCGCCGGCGATGCTGAATCACGGCGGGCCGCCGCTCCGCCGCCTCTCCCCGGGGGTGGCAGCTTGTCCCCCGCCGCCGCAGGAGGAGGAGGAGGTGTCGCGCCCCGCCGGCCCCTCACCCTGACCTCACCTGCCGGGGCGCGGGCGGGCGGTCCTGCAGCGCTCCGGTGCTCGCGGGCGGCGCGTGCTGCGCCTCACGGGCGGCGCGATCCCGGGCGGGGCGATCCCGGGCGGCAGCATCCGCGCCGGGCACGGGCGGGAGGAGGAGCGGGAGGTTACGGCGGGGAGCCGGGACAAACCATTCCTTGCGAGGGGACACCGCCGGCGGCCGGGCGGCCGGGCGGGGCGGGGAGCGCGGACCCTCCCACACAGGTACGTGCGAGGATTGCCCCTGAGGGGCGTCGGGCGGCGTACGCGGAGCGGGGCGGGCGCCGCGGCGGCCGGGGGCAGCGCTGCCGCTCCGCCGGAGCCCCCCCCGCTCGCGGTGGAGCGGCCCGCGCTGTCTCGCTGCCCGAGGACGCGAGCGGACCCGGCGGCCGCGGGCCGCCCCGGGCGCTGCCCGCGCGGGCCCGGAGCCGCCGGCGGCTCCCCCCGCACAGCCCGGCACCTGCCCGATCCACAAATCCGTGCCCCCTGCCCGCGGCTCCAAACAGGGTTTTTCCCCTTTGGAACCCTAGACAAATATCTTTTTCCGCTTTGCACAGTCGCTGTTTGCCACTCTGAAAGAGCCATTTCGGGCTTTTCCTGAAACACTTTACATCCTCACATAAAGGCACGTGACCTAATCAGACAAATGCAATAAAGACTGAAAAAAAAATAGAGAAACGTTAGTTAAACAAATTTTTTAGGAATTTTTCAGAAGAATAAAAAGTTTCACAGAAAAAATAATACTTACAGAATAAATCATAAAACCCCAACCGAAATGTAGTCAGTTATCTCAGTAGATTATTTAGTATCCTCTGTGTTTATCAAGGTCAGGAGCCCAATTCACAAGCAGTGGAAGTCACCATGGCATTTGATATCATCTGCATTATGTTTGCCATGGAACTAGCTGTAATCCTTTATTGACTTCTGGTTTATTAAATAATGATCTTACGTTGTTCATACTATTACATTCTTACATCACACATTCCCCACTACTCACATACCTTTAAAATCAGTTCCAGTCTGGTCTTTTCTGCACAATCTCTTGGCTAAAATAAGGCCTTCCTTGAGAATGTTTACAACTACCTCTTTAAGGCAGTTAGAAATAAATCTATTCAGTAGGCGTAGTATCAGGTTTTCTATTTCTTGGTCAGAAAGAACTGAAACAAAGTTGATAATGTCAAATGAAAATGAAAATTTAATTGTAACTTGATCAGTATTAAGTTTTTTTTTTTACTTTATTTTAACATCTTTTGAGGTAAGTTGATACTTTAATAGGAACAGATTGTGGGCTCCTTGCAAATGCTAAAATGATTGCTAAGGCCAGAAAAACACATGAAAAATCCTTTAGGAAATCCTAGAGAGATATCAGAATGTTTTCTCATGTGTGGTATCAACTTGTAACTTGTAAAGTTGAAGAACTTACTTTTTACAGACATGGTATTTTTCATTGGGTTGGATGACAAATTGCATTGTGGTTTCTACTGCTATGCCGAAATTATGATTTATTTGCCACTGAAACCTTTGTTGGGTTTGTCAAAAAAAAAGAAAAAAAAAAAAAAAAAAAAAAAAGAAAGAAAGAAAAAAGAAAAAAGCAGAGATGTAATTTCTGGCCACAAACATGTAATCTGATAGTCTGATAGCAGCTCCTGTGCTTATTTTTGTAGGTGTTTGTAGGAACAGGTCTGTATTTTAGTGATAGAAAACCCATGCTAAAGCACCAGGATCTAAGCTCATCCCCACGTGAACAGCCATTATTCTCAAGCGGTGGTGCCAAAGTTGTGTTCCAGGATGCTCCTGAGGAAAGGTTTGATTCTCTTTCCGTTAGTCATTTGGAATGCTGCCACTGACTGCAGATGAAAGCATTTACAAGGCTGACAATGCAGTGCACATTATCTCTGGGTCAAAGCTTGGGCTGGGATATCGCAGCCCCTGCCTGCTTCGTTTTAGCGGTGTGTCCGCATTCCACAGCCCAAGCCAGGCCTCTCCACCCCAAGCCATGTGCACTCCTCTGCTGAGCAAAGTGCATTAGATCTTGGGAAGAGCAGCAAACCACAAGCGGGAGTTTGTGATGAGACTCTACCCAGCTGTTGCTTTATGATTCACAGGCAAACCTGAAGTTTGGGACTAGAGTTGTGACCTGCTTGGCTCCCGAGAGGATTTTAGGATAAGCCTCCCCTGTCAGGTGCAGCTAATGCTTCCTCTTTTCAGAGGGCTGGTACCAATGGATGCTGTTCTCAGCTGGGAGCACATCTTCCCAGCAAAGGCCAGAGCCTCACAGCAGAAATGCTTTTTCTCCTCTCCATTCCTGGGAGGCAGGAGGCATTAATCTCTTCCTGAATGTGCTTTTAGTTGTTGTTTCCCAGAAGCAGATCAGATTTACTCTTTTTAATGCGATCTGCATTCTGAATCACTCTGAGAGTAAATGGTACTCGTTACCTCCATGTTGAAACATTAGAGCTAACAAAATGTAGTAAGGAACCAAAGCGGGGTATTAAATACGCAGATGCTTAATTAGGAGCATTAAATAGAGTTATATTTTTAATATTGAGCTAGTTTAAATATTGAATATTGATGCACTAGAGAACAGATGTGCCTAGATAGTTATTGTAAATAGAAATAGTAATAAAAATACCTTTTACAGGGCATGAAGATTATCTTATGAATTTCATAAATTAAGAAACAGGAAAGACAGAAAAACAGAGATCAGGAAGAAAGTGCTTTCTCAGAAATCTGCGTATTTCTAAGAATTTTCTTCAGTTTTTCCAATTTTTCCATACAGAAGTTCTGGATTTCTTTATGAATTTTAATTGTTACAATTGAAAAATGGTGAGGGCAATCAGATCAGTTCTATCTTCAAGTGAAAGAATTATGATTTATTTGAACACGGTTCCTATTTCACCCTTCATGTTATTATGAACATATTCCCTGAATAATTATGAGCACTGTACTGCTGTGTATGTAATCCATCTCCAAGTCAGTAAATACAATGTCCTCAAATTACAAAGAGGATAATTAAATTCTCTAAAGAACATTGGTATTTGAACAAAGTCACAAAATAGACTTGGAAATGCAGACCTGTTTCTCCTGCTCACTCAACCACCAGCTTACAGAGCTGCAGTAGGATGCACAGTCTGATGTAGTCCAGAAAACTTGAAGCTGCATTTTACCTCTGCTGTTGAAACAGGCTCTACCCTTGAGAAACTGTTGGTACTTGCAAATGCCAAACAGATCTTCAAAACGTTAAATGTGACAATCCTGAAGTTCAAAAGCTTTGAAACAGAATCAGCATATAGATTTATAAGAGGAATAATATCTATTTTTATTAGCGAATAGCTATAAATAGTGTGTTTTCTTCTGTTTGCACAACACTCATCTTATAATATATTTGCTAAGTATATAATTACACTTTTCTAAACAGGTGCATTTTCTCCCTTGCTATAAAGCCATGTCCAAACATAATCTGTGCTGTCATAAACCATCCATTTCCTAGTGCCAGCCTAGAAAACATTACCAATGAAGAAACAAGGTTCAGCTCAACTGCCATCCCTACACTTTATATTCCCTTAGGATTCTTGCTACAATACTTCTCAGGCCATACATAATTTTTGCTTCAAAAAGCAGCACCCATCTCTTTTATAAGCCATCTGCTCAGCGTGTTAGCAAAATCCATGCAACAGCTTCCCAGCAGCACCAACACCTGCTAACAGGGGATGGTGTTTCAGGCAGATATTGCCAGCCTGTCACAGCTTCTTATCTCCTCTCTCTCTAATCTTCAGAGTACTGTCTGGGATTATCTCCTGGAAATCAAATGCCCAGCAAGATGGCTTGTTACTTTTTTATGTATCAGCAAACATGCACTTGATTGAGTTCATTAGTGCTGTAAACATCTTTTATTATACAGATCAATGTGAATTTACAAGCTGTAGCACTATGATATTGACATAATGTAGCATTTCATATACAATGACTTTTTATAGTCCTCAACACTCCAAACACGCTCTGGGTGAAATTCAGTACTGATGTAAGCAGATACCATAACCCCACAGACTGCAATCATCCCCAAGCTTTATGAGGTTCCTTTGGTCCAGGCATGATTTTAAACAGCTTTAAGATAGGAACACTTCTATTTTTAACCACAAAAAATTTAATTTCGGTTATCTGTGTCTGTTTAGTAATCAAAGCTTGGAGGTTCTTCTTCAAAGTTCCATTTGCTGTCTTCCTCTGTTTAAGAAAGGAAGTCCCAGAACTTCAGCAGTTTGGGGAAACATTGCCTGAGCAGCCATGAAGAAAAAAATATTCTACTGTATGAAGGCTGTAAGATGAAATAAGGCATAAGTTGAAGGAAAGTGGAAACTTACTTCTGTTGATCACCTAAGTTACTATGGACATCCAGGAAATAAAACTAGTTTTTGTAAATATTCACAAACTGGGGCAAGTTCATCCAATGTTACTAGATACTTATGCTACTGTTGGCATGCAGGCCCAGGTAGAAAGAGGGGTGTGAGCTGCTCGTCCTTTGCAGCTGGACATAGTAATAAAATAATTATTTTAAGCAATATGGTCAAATATGAGAAAAGTGGGCATGAGACTTCCACCCCAGCAAAGTTGTACTTTCTCCCATGCATGTCCTTTCACGGTGTAGAAGTTCTCAGTATCTGTTCAATCCATACCTTACCAGATATAAGTGGAAATTCCTCTATACAGGTTTGTTGAAATAAATCTGAAGTGATTGGCTCATTACTTTGATATAACAGCTAACAGCTAACAAATATTTAACCCCTCTATTTATCATGTTTAATGGCAAAAGATATTGCAAATGGTAACTTTTTCACCATTATTTGAATTTCACTAGTACTTTTAATTGCTAAAATGAAAATTTAAAAACATGGAAAAAATCATATTATCAAAAAAGTCATACCAAAAAAAGGTAAGTAGAGTTGTCACTTTTGTATAGTCAAAGTATTCTTTCTCATATTCTTCTTTCATTACGTATAAATATTTAATCAGTATATATTTATGTCACAACAGAAAGCAACATAGAAAACAAGAAAAAAACCTGCTGCCAGAAAATATGTTTATTTTTTCCATATATCACAAATTAAAACAACCTATAAGAACATGAAGCATTCAAAAAGAAATGTGCAAAACAAGTCTGTGGAAAAAAATCTATGTCTGCTCATATAGGTAAGGCTACACTGGATCTGTCTGTCCCCAAATGACCTCGTTTTTCCTCAAGGTCCCCAGCTTTCTGAAGACCACACGTTGTTCCACTGATGTTTACAGGGGTTGTCCAGGCAACCAGATAAAACAGAGATTTAAAGGGGCCTGTCCTGTCTGTGCTGTGGGCTCCAAACTCACGTCAAGGAAAGGAGCCCTGCCTGTGGGGAAACCCAGCCTGGGGCAGGAGAATCCTCCAAATGTTGGCCAATCCTTTCCTACAACTGCTTGCTGCAGCAAAGAAACAAAAGACTACTACAATTTTACTTTACATAGACGTGGTGAGTTTTGAGTTAGATTATGGATTGTAATTTTTTTACTATAATAGATAATATTAACATAATGTGCATTTCCTTATGACCTCATTGGATTTTTGTGTGCAAGAACTGACAGTGACAACATTATTGAGTGACTATGATTAATTATTTCAATTATGGTAGAAAACAGAGACCCCATTCAAAATTAGTCCCCCATTGTGATGCAGCTGTACAAACATATATTAAAAGACTGTGTCTGGACCAGAAGTCTGCAAATTACCCCACTCAGAGTCATCAGGGAAAAGACAGCAGCACACATGGAGCACACACAGGCAGGGATGAACCTGGACAGTGTGTGTATTGCCAAGATTGTAACAAAATAATATTTCTCCTAATTCAAGCAACACTTTTTCTCTCCAAATGAGATAGGTTAGCATCTCCTGTTAATCTTTCTTAAAAGACTATATTGCATATTTTCCAGTTGCATGAGGCAAGTTCTACAATTCTTCCATGATTATTTTATCTGTTCTCCTCTCCTGCACATGTATGTGCTCCAATTGTCCTGACTTTCTTTTCTTCTCTCTACCATTTTCAAACATTCTCTTCTGTCCTGCAGCCCAGCCTTTCTCTTCCCTCCTTCCTTGAAATCCCAGCTGCCATGGAAATCCTGCTCTCCAACACCACTGAAACTCTCAGAAGCCTTTTACTTCTAACTGTATAATGCTACAATGTGTGGATGAAAAAGCCCTCTATAAATGGTAAGTATTGGTATTGATTGTGTTATTAATATTTGCATGTTAAAGGATTCATATACAAAATATTTAACTCCCCCTTCAAATAGACAATAAATTGAAAAAAATATTCCTGCCTTGTCATCCAGAGGGAAAATTAACTTTAAACTGTAGGAGAGCAATTGCAATCTGAATTTAACATTTCTAGGAAATTATAGCAATCAGTTATTTACCCAAGGACCATTTCTAACATGTCTTTTGTGCCTATTCAATATATTATCCTATGCTAACTTTGAGGAATGGATATGGCCAATTATACTCTTGTCTCTTCAATAAATTGATGCAATATTATTGCAGAAATTAAAAAGAGGATGCAAGAGAAGTATATCCTTGAGATAGCTTATGAAGAGTAACAGGCACAAAACTAGAAAACAGGCCCAGTGTTGCAGGTAACATCCTGACATCACCGATGGCAAAACTTCATTTGAGTACAAAGAAATCAAGATTTCATTTGAGACTTCAGAAAAATAGTTTCTCATCAGCAATGGCTTTTATGGCCTTCGCCCTTGCTCAGGGATCAGAAATCTGGTTTGTCTTCTCAGTAATGATGAGGAAAGGCTCTGACTGACTTAAACATGCCTTCATGTTTGTTCAACATCAGTGAAAATTAAGATCTAACGTACCAAATATTTGGAGGAGGCAAGGGATGCCAAACACCACCAAACTGTGCTGCTGAATTCCATTGGTTTTGTGAACTCTTACAAAATAACAGTTCTGGTAGTAAATCTGCAGTACAGTGAAGAGAAAGACCAAGTAAATGGAATAGAGTGGCAAACAAAACAAACTGAGGCCAAAAGGGATAGGAAAGAAGGAAAAGCAAAGAGTAAAAATAAAGGCATATAAAGCCTCTGGAGGATAGAAAAGAACATTTTTTGAGAGGAATGAAAATATAATTTATTTTAGCAGTATAAAAAAATTAAAACTAGGAGGGACAAAAAATATCTGACTAAATCACAGAATAACTTTTACTGTGATAAAGTAGATGGAAGGGAAGATTTCTGTGAAGAAATATCAAAGGACAAGCTTTGATATCTAGCTTCTTCAAGTGATCTACACATATAATGCCATCACCTCTGAGTTAAAATGTTGCACCTGAGCATAAGAAATAAATGCAGATGTTATTCCCAAGACAGATTTCTATACATCCTCTGTTAGAGACCTTGATTGATTCATTTTACCTGAAATTATTTGAAAGGAATTACAGCATTGGAAATGAGAAATGCTTGAGGATAATTTTTATATGTAGACATTTATTGGTTAATATGTTACTTGGGGATGCATCTGCTCTTTGCACAAAAAGAATGGGGTTCTTTCTTGTAAATGTGACGGTTAAAATCGTAATATTTAATGCCAATTTAAAAGCCCTGTCTGTCACATTCATGTGCAAAAACTGTACTGCACGTGGTTACAATCTTTTAAAATGGATTTTAAAAATAAAAGCTTCCCTGGAAGCATTACATTTATTTCAGCTATTATTTGAAAATTACCTCTATGTTTCAGATGTGAAACTGAGTTTAGAGAAAATATGGTTTGGACTAAATGCAAATAGAAGTCAAAGTTTCTGTTTCATGAGATTAAAACAGTGCTTGAAAACACTCAACTTCTCTTTCTTGGTGAATCAGCCATACATCTATCAAATACAGAGAACATCTACTGATATCAAAGTATAGTCTGACAATGGCTTCTCAGGCTCTGGAGTTGAGGGGAAAAAACTTTTACACTGACATTTGCATTACAACCACTTGAAATAACCACTTCTTCTTTGTGCTAATGAGAATTAATAACTTCTTCTTGGCACGCACTGTAGATATTTCTCCTTTTAGCTTTCTGAGTCAAAGACAAACAAAAAGAAATCCAAAAATAGTAAATAAACTTTTAATCCGGTTTTGGCTGCTATTATTTTTCATATGGAAAGTGGCTTTTACTCTTTTTTTCTTGCATGGATTTTTTTTTTCAATATATTCACCCCTATGAATATGATGCTATTATTTGTTTTATTTATTATTTCTCCTAATGAAAGGCTACTGGTCTAAATATTCTTTTAGCAATTTAGCTTCCTGGCTTGTAAATGTAAGGAAAATACACTGCAGGCACCTGACTGAAGAACATCTGCTGAAACCCTCTGAGCCTAGAATGACCACTCATTCATGGCACTAGCAATATAAAAAAAAATTTTAAAAAAGACACTGAGAAGAAATTAAAGCATTTAAAGGCTCAAACTCCGGAAATAGCAGAAACTACTGGAAAAGAAGGCAAGAACACTTCAGTGTACATCTGGAAACAGTAAGTGTTATTTAAAAGCAAGTCTATCAGAAGGAGGTTTTCCTTCTGAAAATAGCAAGTGCTGATGCATTTGGCATACTTAACACTTCTCAGCAATCCAAGAAAAGGAGGATATTCATGAAGCTGGTACAAAAAATAGGAGTATTGCATTCTACATAAAAACGAAGCGTATTAAAGTTATATGCTTTGGTCCTGAATGTTAAAAGTGTATTTTACTTTATAAGGCTGGGCTGACAAGATTATAAGATTACATTTACTATATAAGATTGGGGTGCTAGAAATGTACGATGAAGTGTGGCATTACCCTACCATAGGGTACGATCTAGTGAAGATTTTTAGATTTTAAAAAAAAATGTAAAACCCTTCCAACTTTAAAAAGCCAGTGGTTTTCAACAGAAAGTGGAGCAAATAATACAGAAATAGATTCCTGGGAGAAGCAGACTCCAGATGAGGCAATTTAGAATCTGCCAAGAAACTAGTACTTGAATAAGTGTTGGACTGGACTGTGCTTTGAAACCTTAGATATTACCAAGAGCTGAAAATACCATAAGACAAAGATATCAGAGGTAGGAAAACACCCAGAGCTGGAATTCCTGAGCAAGGAATCACACAAATAAAGCAGATGGAAAACTCTGAACATTAAGTAAAACCTTGTATTTATTTGTCTTCAGATGCCAGGAGTCTGAACCATGAAGAAACTGCATGTTGCTGCCTTGGATGACTGTTTTCTGTAGAATAAAAAAACTTGCAGTGAAAGATGATGTGTGCAGAAGAAATAATAAACATAAGAGCAAATGGGACATATTACCTTTGTTAGGCATATATGCACAGCTCCTAGTATTTCTAGGAACTGTGCTCTAACTCTGAGATAAAAACAGCAAGTTGTAGAAATATAAAGAGGTAAAAATACAGGTTTATGAAACTGATTTTTTTTTCTATTTAAAAATGTGCTTCTAGAAATTAAAAAAAAAAAAACAGGAAAACCATCTTGGACTGTTTTCCTATTTTTGGATGGTACTACTAAAGATATTACAGCAGAAGAGCTGATTATGCATTAAGAACTTTTTTAGCTAGACTTCTTTAACCAATACAGTAATATGTGAGAGAGGGACACAATTTACAGGACATACATTTGAGCAGAATACAGTGAAGCCTAGATTTAGATGTGGGACTACTAGTTCCTCATCATTCCTTACTTATTGGGTGCAGAGTATGTAAGAAAGCTTGCTAAACTGTTTGAACTTTCCTAGCTAGAATTAAAATGACCTTCAGGTAACCTAGCATATTTCACTTCCAAAGTGAGTGAGGCTAAACTGAATTAAGGTCATTTTTAATTCTGAGGAAAAAGAGATACTGAGGCATTTAATATAGCTTAGTGTACTTTAAATTAACAGTTGTAATTAACTTGGAGATCTCTGTAGAAAAGACCTAAAAAGATAAATTAAAAACACCACTGTTTTTGTTTTTTGTTTTTAATCATCTTAATTCTGTAGAAGGTGATTCAGAGTCTTAATATAAAGTAAGAACAAACAGTATAATATTGATCACCTCTCAGTTATGGTGAACTTACCATAATTGGAAGCTATCCTGAAAGTGGCTTACTATATAGTTTTTTAAACAGCTATGCATTTTTTAATAACTGACTACACAAGTAGTATTTCTATTCAAATCTGTGGGAGTAAACTAGAATCAAATATCAGACAAGTATACCATCAACTCTGACTTAGGTTTCATTCCTGCTATAGTTCATGTGCAGCAGTACAAATATGTTGCTAAACTACTAAAAATACAACAACAACAAAAAAAAAAAAAAGTGATTTTTTTTTTGTTTGCTTTCCTCTATTTAATATGTACAAAATCAACTTATATGGAATAATCTGCAGAACAATTATAAGCAACTGAAAAAAGTGCTGCTTGGCTGATAGCAAGAGACTACACCCACTGCCAAATGATCATAGGAGATAAAGGCCAAAAACTGAGCAGCTGGACTTGCCCATTAAGGCAGTCTGTAGCTTATCTCTGAAAAAAACATGTCACTTCTGCAGGACATTGACCTCAACAAAACACCTGTTACCTCCTGTGGTGAATTAATATGTGGCCACTATCCATAGAAAATTTGATCAAATGCTCTCTTGTAGGGGGTAATACTGACAGCAAAAACATAGAACCTGTTTTGTTAAATTAGGTCTAAAACATCAGGAAAAAACCCCACCTTGCAGCTTTATGGCTCTTCAGAGTCTTGTGGTGAACTGTAGTTAAAAATCAATAAGGGAATATATAAACTCTTTTCTTCTAGGTTTACATGGGGTTTTTTGACCAGTGGCTATCTTGGGAAATATTTGGAAAACATCTAATGCCAAGAAAAAAAAAATGTGGCAGTGGCTGCTAGTGTAAATTTCCTTTGGAGCTTTTTGCTTTAAGTCTACCTAGTCACACTGAAGGGAACCCAAGTTGCCCTTAGTTAAGACTTCTTCCAAACTAAAATGTCCCTCAAAATTGTAACATCCATGGTGTGCCAAACACCTCCTTGAGGCTCCAGATTCCTTTTGGATTCACAGTTGAAGAGCATCAAAGAACATTTTTCAGGACATCTGGCAGAGCAAGTTTTCGGCCAAGTTGCTTTGGTTTCATAGTGGATTCAGGGGCTGGCAGTCTCAGATATTGTAGAAACATGATGTAAGTCCTTTCACTTCTCTCTGAGTGGGTGGGTCCTCAACTGGAATGAATTTGGCATCAGTGGATTAAGCCTTCCCTGCAGAAGGATGTAGTTTATTGCTGTCTGTATAGCTAGTACAGGGAGCAAGGGAAATTGCTGTGTTCCTGCTTTCATCCTTTCCCTTAGCACATCTACATGACATAATTGATATATTCTTGGCAGGTCTGAAATTATGCTGCAGTGATGAATATTCCTGTTTCTGGGTCAGAAGCTGTAAAATTTGGAAAATATCTTCCATAGCCACAAAGAAATGCATATGCTTCTTGGCACGTTAGCAACCTGCTAGAAAAGCATCCCACACTGGCAGAACAGGGGTTAGCTGAGAGCAGAAAATGTGCCAGTAGCCTGGAACAACCCGAAGGGAAAACAAGGAGTTAAATGCCAAATATATCATTCTGTTTAGGAGAGAGAAGGAGGCTGCCAGGGGTATTCAAAGATGCAGGAATGTGGGATTTTGGGAAGAGCAGTCTAATTTGGTATTCAAAGCCAGCAGTTTACAGGCACTGCTGCAATGGTAAGGCAGGCTGGCCACAGAAGGAGAACCCCAGCTGAGGCAGGTACATAGTCAAAACTCAAGCAGAGCCTGCACCCTCAGGCTAGGGATGATCAGTATGGGTGGGCTGGACCATCAATCTGTGCATGCCAACCCCTTGCAATGCAGGCACACCTCAAATTCGAGAGAAGAAAATGAAGATGCATAATGATTTAAATTTAGTGACTTGTTTCAAATGTGTATTGAAAACAACTGCTGGAGTTGCTACAGAAATGCCACTATCTCATCTAGAATTCAGAATGATTATGGAATGAAAGGATATGTGGCTCCAGAAGTAATTACCATATGAACAGGTGATTTCTGTAAAGACACCTGAGAGTCTTTAATCCAGAAGAAATGGTCTTTTTTGTCCTGAAATGACCCTCTCATTTTTAGTTCTAAGTCTATATAGGGTACAATATGTGAGTTTCATGAGAGAACTACACATCTGATACAGAGCTTTAGGCTTTATCAGAGTGAAGGATTAGTCTTGCTAGGATATTTCTAACTGATAGTTCCCAAGAAATACGTTAAAAATTGTATGAAAACCTGCTGAGAGTCATTGAAACATCATCAAATCCATACTGCTAAAACTGCTGAGTTGACTTTCTTAGAGCATACTTTTTTAAATCTCATATAGATCAGCAAAACAAATGAAATTTTAAATTTGAGATTGGGCCTTTAGTGAAATATATTAACATACACAAACAGAACATTTTCATATTTGCATTACTTTATTTTTCAACCAATGTGTTGAAAGAAGGCAAACTACTTGTAAATAAGGAGTGATATAAGGCATTTCAGCATAAAAGGATTTTATATAAAAAAATTAAGGAAAGTGAAGATTATGGCTGGAATAAGAATTGACAGTCTGAATGCTAAGTGATTGTATACACATAATATCTATAATCATCGGTATGTTTTGCAATTAAACAACGACTATTAACTTGTTAATACAGCATAAGATGTGTGAGTAGTGTGAATGTGAATACAAATGTCCATCCCTAACTCCTTATTTCTGTTGTCTTTTCCTACACGTGTAATGCTAGAACCATGGATATGGTTAATTTAATACTTCACAGCACTGTTGAATTATATTTGTTAGGTTTCTGATAAAGAGAGTGTTTGGGTAAAAACATTTATGCAAATCCATCAGTGATACCATGTGCATTAAGAGCACATGGTTGAGAACCAGTGTCATTGCATTGGTGCACACACACACTATATATATATACATACATATATATATATATATTTATGGTCTGGACATGTATATGTAGGATTTTGCTGGAGTACATGCAAAGATCCTTGTCCACCTAGACCCAAAGAACAGTCATGTCTATTGGACCTTGGTGGATTCTCACATATGCAGCCTTTGCAGCATAATTTGCCAGCAAAGGGATGAGCTGTAACGCCAGGAATATGCTAAAGATGCTGCAGCAAATCTCATTTGTTAGCAATGCCACTGCTGTCTTCTCAAGGATATCAAAATGCCTGTCAGCACCTGGATGAAAATCAGCTGACTCAGACTCAATCTGGCCAAAATTAAAATTATGATGGCTGGAGCAGGGAAAACATTTAAAACTGGGATAAGATCTTTACCCGAGACATCATTTTCAGATATTTATTCAAACACTACAGCACCTGAGAGTTCTATTTTTTGTCATTGTATGAATGATCGAGATGACAGATAGAAAAAGTACCCTCTCATTTTCACGTGCTTAAGTTCTCCTCCTGGTGCAGATCTGGCCTTTGCAATCTACATGCCATTCCTCAGCAGAGTGAATTACTGATAACTCGCTGAACCTCTTTTTAAGTGCATAAAGAATGTTTGGCAAAATGAGACAGCCCTCTTCAATAGTAGCTGCTTCATTGCCCTCAATGGTTTGCAGGTTATTTCCTCATGATGTTTGAGTCTTGTTTCTATCTTCAAAGCAACAGAGACCTGGCATCCTCAGAGACAGCTTCCTAATCATAGAAACACAGGTACTCCCCTGAAGTAAGCAGTATAACACACATCAGGGTAATGCAAGGGAAAAGGTGAAGAAAATCAGGAGAAAGTCCCTTAAACTGAGAAGTTCATTGATCAAACCTCAACCTACAAAACATCAAGATAATTCAGGTAAGTGTTCCCAAAACTTTTCAGCCATATAACCCAGGCAGCTTGTACAACTGTCAAGGTAGACCACACACTGGCTAGATCTGCCCAGTGCTCCCATACACTGCGCTCCACTGCACGAGCCTAGGAAACTGGAAATTTCCTGGAAGTATCTACTTTAGTGTGCATTAGTGTATAAAATCCTGTCTTATAGTAAGGTGATTCAGTATTAGACTGTGATAGCATGTGCTTCACCAGCAGGCAGCCCACGGTGCTGGGAAAGGATTTTGATAACCCCAGTGAAGGATGGTAGCCAGAACAATTCCTGCACTCTTGGGGAAAGAATGCTGCCAGAAGAGGGTGGGTATCACATACATTGTCCTGGCAGAATATATGCAGTTTGTGATCCATAAGATTAGCACTTCTGCTCTCCACTCTCTCCACTTTAAAGCACATAAAATAGAGCCTTTTTTTGATAAGCATTTCCTTCCAGTGCTAAAACACTCAAAGCGTTTCACATGATAAATATATAAAGAGAGCTATCATCAACTTGAAAGTCACAATACCGCTTGAAAATGTGTAGCTGGAGCTATTTATGATGGGTGGCAGCAAAACGGGGGGAGGAAAAAAAAAAAAAAAGCAACTCTATCCTGGCAGCCCGCTTACTTTCTACGGCTTTTTTTTTTTTTTTTTCCTATAGTCTGGACAGCCGTGTAAAAACAGTCACTGAACAGGCGGCAAGTGCGAGTTTCCTCCCGTCGGCCGCCGGGGTGCAGGCCCGGGCGGGTGTCCTCGGGGATGCTCAGGGGCGCGGGGCGGGCGCAGCCGCAGGGCCGCGGCCCGCGCGGCCTCCCGGGGTCACCTTGGGCAGAGCGGCCTCGCCCCCGCTTCGGCCGCAGCGGCCCGGCCGTGGTCGGCTGCGCCCCCGCGGGCGGCGCAGCGGGAGGAGGCGCCGCCCCGGCCGTCATTTCCGCCGAGTGCGGGGCGGGGGAGGGGGCAGAGCGCTCGCCTCCTCCTCCGCGGCGGCCGGAGACACAGAGACCCAGAGCGGGGCCAGGGCAGCTCCGCCGCCGCTGCCGCCGCCGCGGTGGGGCGGGTGCTGCTGCAGGGGGGGGGCGAGACCTCCGCCCCTACAGGCCCAGCCGCGGCCTGCGCGGCGCCGCGGGGAGTTCGCCCGACCCCGGCCCTGCAGCGGGGTTCAGCGGGCTCTCGGGAAACCAGCGGGACAAACCCGCCCGCAGCCGCCGAGCCGAGGCCGCCTCCGGGCCGCGCGTGCGGCTGTCCCGCAGCAGGTGTCCGTCCCCGGTGGAGGAGGAGCCGACGGCGGGGCCGCGGTGTCGGCGGGCAGGTGTCGGCGCCTCCGCCAGCCTTCATCCTCGCCCCGGCCCGCTCGCTTTCCCCACCCCCGAACACACCCTGCCGGCGGGGGAGGCCGCCCGCCCGCCGCGCTCCGTCTGCGGCGGGAGGGTTTTCATCCCGCTGCGGGGAATGTAGGTCAGAAACTCCTGTGCTCGCCCGGATCGTGCAGCCCCGGTGACCCCGCGGCCGTGCCCGCGCCCCGCTGCGCAGCCCCAGCCCCGCGCCGTGTTTACATCGCTCGGGAGCGCGCTGGGAGAGCCCTCGGTACAGCCTTGCTCTCCTGAGCCCTGAGTAAAATGGAAGACAAAAGCATTGATCTGAACTCGTCATGGCAGGGAGCTTTCTGCTGGTGTTTCTGTTCGTTTGTTTGCTTTGTTTTTGTTGTTTTGTTGGGGTTTTTTCTCCCTGTGAGTATTTCAGCATAACTTTGAACAATGTAAAGCTGATTCAGTTGTTGGGAAGAAAACCCTAGACTTTATTTTTTTTTTTTCACGTTGACTTACTTCTAGTGAAAAACTTTGGATATGTTTATGATGGATAAGAGTGAAGACAAGATGTAGTGAGCAGGCAGTTGTGCAAGCTCAGTGTTGTGACAACAATACCCTTTGTTACTAGAAAATCCTAGGGCAATAAAATGGAAATAACTTTAAACGCCGAAGTTCGGGGAGTGGGTTTGGTTTTAGGTTTTTTGTTGTTGTGGTGGGGTTTTTTTTGTTTGTTTGTTTGTTTGTTTTTGGGTTTTCTGTTTGTTGGTTTTTTTTTTTTTTTGAGATTTTTTAGTGTGTGTACTTTTTGTGTATTTACTATTGAGGTCTGGGGTAGAACTAGGTAACCCGATTTGCATAGGCCGGGGCCTGCCCACACAGCATTCCTCTGGCTTCCCAGGGATCTGCAGTGGGTGCTTCCAGCTGTGGGAGCAGGGGCTCTGGCTGACCTACCCAGTTCTGATTGTTGGTTTCACCTTTCAGTTCTTGTGTCTTAGCTCACTATTATTTTAGACTTCACAATCCAAATTGTTATATGACCGTTATTGTTTAGTGGTTTTGTTTTTTGCTTGAGTGCATTAATTTTGATGGGAAGTATTTTAGCCTAACTATAAAGATAAGTATGGAGAGGATGGATTGTTTGAAGTATTTTAGATGACAAAACACTGCATTTTGTACTTCATGTTAACTGTACTGCTATTAGTTTGTGCAGTTAAACAACACTACAACACACAATGTTTACTTTCATTTTAATAAATTCTCATACTACAAAATACAGTAATTTTTTGGGTTGCAGAAGGAGTTTCCTTCAGAACCTCTCTCCCCCTTTGTTAGGGTTTAAAAATGAAATGCTGCTAGAGCCATCAAGCTCAGATGTTTAATTACTCAGTATATTTAGCAGCAAAATTCTGTAATGATACAACTCCTGTGACTAGGAGAAAAACTTGGTCATCATTGACATACTGCTGGGAAAGACCAGGATTCACTTACCATGGAAAATTGGTAAGATAAGAATACTATACAACAAATTAATCATTGGAAACAACATTTGGTTTACTGTCAATGAATGTTGATTGTCGTCTATTTATATGATACATGGCAACCAAAACCAAAAGAAATATAAAATGAGATGGAGCTTTAATATTTCTGGATTATTTATTTGCATTTTTGTACCAGTTTTCTAGTTTTGCATGCTAAGTGTCCTCAGTAGCATGTATTCCAGACTACAGGACACTGCAAATGAAATTGTTTGAAGGGCTAACAGAAGAATATCCAACTTTGAATTCTAAAGGTGATGTTGTGCCTTGATTCATGCATAAAGCTTATGGAATTGTGTGGATCAAGGGCATGCTAAGGTCCCTGGAAGAACAATGAAGGGTAACATAGCTTCCCCTGATAACTATACTTACTAGTTCATGAAGTGTAATTTGAGACCTCTTGCACTGTCTGTGATCAGCACAGTAAATGCTGTTCACCTAACTATGGCCCTTACATCCTTCTCATTTATTGTAGCTTTCCATTTATAGTCAAATGTCTTTACTACTCGTTACTTCACTTAGGCAGTGAAATGGAATAAAACCATCAATATGTGGACACCAGTAGTAGATGAGAGGAAATGTTTTGGAGTATTTTGGGCTGAAGTTGCAGGTGAATGAAATCTGAGTGGCGGTGGTTTCTTAAGCTTGGTCACCGCCAGAGTGAATCGGGCTTGTGTAGCAGGGAGGGCAAGATACATTGTGTACACAGAAGATGGAAGGGAAAGTTAGTGTCATCTCTTAGGGTTTTATTTCTGTGGCCTTCTGTTCCACGGTCTCCTAATATGCATTGGGTTTTGATTTAGAGGACCAAAACTAAAAGTTGTCCTTTGGTAACAAGAAGCGTCAGGGTTCTGGCTCCATTTTAAACTTTGTTTTAAATGCTTTCATGGTTTTCCACTGCAACCTACAAATTCTGAGGGCCTTTTAGAACAGTAATATAAGTATCTTTAATTTGAAATCTGGAGAGACACAATTATCAGTAGCCATAAAATTTACTCTGATTCCTCATCCTAATATTAATTTAATTATTCTCTTTGTTATT